TTTACTCACGGGTTTATGTCGCTTCTGCGTGGAAACGACGATGAAAAAAAGAAAAAAAGAAAACTGGGATGGGACTCATTCTCCCGGCCTCGTTGTACCGCTCGTTAAGACGTTAATGTTGCCGAAAATATTCGCAAAAATGCAGGTGCACTTAAAGTTGGACGCTTTTTTTTTATACATACAGAACTTTCGTATGCCTGTCTTTTTTATGGCACATCAACGATACGTAAGTTTTCAATGTTAATTACCTATGACCCATTTTAATTAAGATATGAAAGAAAGAATTCACTATTTTAGTTTTTAAAGTGCTACTTATTTAACTATTTCGGCCATTATTACAATATTGTACTTACCTTTCTTATTGCGTGAACAAAAGAATAATTAAAATAATACAGAGAGACGATTGGCTGTTTTGCTCAAAATACATCCTGGATATTATTTGCTGCGAGATGTTTTTGGCTCCGTTCGATTTTCTCGTCTCGTAATCGTCGACGAACGGCCGGAGTCAGCGGCCGAGGAATCACGCGACGCACTTTTTCTTCGTTTTTCTTCGTTTCCTCCGTTTATCCGGGCGCCCGTAGTGGTTCCTCGGCTCGTTTCGTGGTTTCTTCTTTGCCACACGAGCCCTTATATATACATACACCACGGACCTTCTTTCTATACGGGACTTTGGGTTGGGTTATATTACGGCGGACTAGGCTTCTCTCTCTCTCTCTCTCTCTTTCTCGTTCGCTCTTTGGAGCCCCGTGACTTTGCGCCGTCGCCGGGACTATAAATCTCCGGCTATTAAGACGGTAGTCCGCCGTTTTGATGGCCCGTGCCAGGACGCACTATCATCTTAATATCGCGTTACGTGCACGTGCGGGATGCCCGAAATTCTTGCGCTCTACATACACGTCCTGTGGAGTCGTCCTGATCGGTTATCAATGTTATTGCTATTAATACTTTGAATGCAAGCACGAGTATAATTCTTCAGTCGACTTATACGTTATATTTGCTTACAGTTGTAAATTCATATTGCGTCATTTTTTTTGTACGTTTAATTATTTTATATTTTTTCTTCTATAAGATATTCGATAGATATTTTATGATACCAGCATATGTCGTTATGATTAAGCTCTTTTGAAATAAAACATTAAATTATGCAGGCACGGTTTTATGAAGAACATTACCTTCTCGATTATACTATAAGTAAGAGACACATTATGATATAATCAGCATCAGTTTAGCATTAATATACATTATGAAACGTACATTTTCTAAATTCTTGTTCTTCTTGTTACAAAGACAGTTCGTGACAATTTAGTCTCTAAATTCTTTTGCAAGACTGAGGTGCGTTTGTTTCGTTATGGATTTGTATAAAACAATGTCGGCGATATTGATAATTGAGAAAACAACGCGTGGCCAACTACTGGGATACAAGTAGCGTGTTTGCTGTTGACAAGTATCACACGATTTAACAATGTTTAAATATTGTCGCTTCGAGTGTCTTTGCGCGTTTCGAGCGTGCGACCAGGTCGTAGATAAACCGTCCCTTGCTTGCTTAGCGCTCTTGACTACCGTGTATCGCTGGTTCACCTTCCTGCTCATGTACACATTGAACGGGGGAGAAGATCTCCGAAAAATTTTCCATTTTCCTTGAAATATGAATTTCTTTACTTTTCGAGTGGTACGACGTCAAATTTGCTCCGAATGATCGAATTTACTATTTAGTATCGAATACTCTCATTTCACTGAATGAATCGTATTAACTCAAGGAAAAAGATGTATGTGATAAGTGGACAAATCGTGTATGAATAAGGATTGTTACGTCGAGTACGATTGTATTATACCGGTAGATGGAAAATTAATTGTGAATCGACAAGTGACGTTGTTAGTGATAATGTTTGTCGACGCAATTTTTTTTTAATTTTAACGCTGAAGTGATAATGAGACGATCGAGACGTAATCTGTGAGCGTACGGTTATAATCGGCGCGAAATTCTCGCTCGGTGAATCGAAAGAGTAAAGAGAGAGAGAGAGAGAGAGTGAAGAGAGAGAAAGAGGAAGAGTGGGTCGAGTAAGAGTCTAGGGAAGAGGACGCTTACTTACGTAAATTATTAAACATCGAAGTGTCGTTCATACGACGTTCCTCGTTAATAAGTGATATAATTAACAACTATTAATTAGATGTACTCACGCATATAAGTTCAAAATGTGACAATTCTCGTATCTACATGATGCAATTTATTTTGCCGATATGTTTTCATTATGGACTTAGCACGTATCGCGCGTCGATTGATTTATTGTTCATTCTTGTGTCATCTGAGAAATTTTTTTACGGTATATTGGACGCGACGACGTGTCGCCTTCTTTGCTCGCATTTCTGGACTCGTGTACTTGGATTAGAATCGATTCAGACGATTATTTCAAGTGTTAATCGCAACATCATGCAATTTCGCAATGTACTTGACGTGAGATTCATCTGTACCTCCTCGGTACTCAACATCTCACGAGAATCGAGGCGATTTCATTAACAGTTTCATCAATAATCTTGCCTTCAAGATTATTAGAGCTATTCCATTTTACAGGATAAATTTCGATACGCAAACGTTTTTTTATTTCTCTAAGTATGTCCGCGAATTATTTCTATTACAATTCGAGCGCAGAATCGTTTCAAGATTTACTGTATCTTTTCGATTTCCTACCTTTCTATGTTTGATTGTTTCCTTCGATCAAACTTCACTTTCCTTTTTCCGTATGTTTGGTTTTACTTCTCGTTTCCTTTCGGACAAGGATGAAGACAGGACACACGCGATGGAGAACAGTTCTCATGCGAACTCGTAGGAAGTGTGCGAAATGTTTGTTAATTAATTATGTTTTTTTTGAATCAATAACGATGTTAACGTTTCCCTCAACGTTATTGCGTTTATACATATGCAATAGAACTTTACGAATTTTTTTCCACGCGGACGAATGCCCAGCCCTCATACACAGTCGACCATTCACTCTCGTTTGTCTTGTCTCTTTCTCTCTCTCTATCCGATGATCTCTTTGGTAGTCTCACTTTCGCTCTTCAGTCGCCATCTCGTTCTTTTTTTCCGCCGTCGCGCGCGTATGCGGACTAATTAATATGAGCTGTATACGAGCCCATCTGCCCGGCACAAGGTCCACCTATACGGGTACCGACCTGACTACGCGATATAACGATCTCATCAAGGTCGTATCACGACTTCACCGTCGTACTTTGCTGGACTGGAAGTGTTGAAAACGACCGGTATATTACGCGCCAAGATTTATGCTGCGCGGCCGAGATCGAATTTAATTTCCTCAAAAATCGTTTGCAATCAATTATAAGATGCTAATCGTGCTGCTTTAACGAACCGCATCACGGAACGGATTGACCTGCCATGCGAATTTTTTTATTTATTATTATCTTTTAACCTTGATACTCACTTTAATCTCAAAATTTACATTTATATTAATAATGACAGTTATGTGTATACGTTCCAATTATAAAAGAACGTTGGCAACGCGTTATTTAATATATGGATGCACGTATAATGGAATCGATTGGCATAAAAGTGGGGCAGTAGTGTATGCCTACATTTACGTCACTGACAGTATCCATGCAGTTAATTTTGTCAATCTAAAGAATGGCGTATATTAATTGGGAATTCTGCCGACAAGTGCATATACATTCTTTATTATTTGCAAGAAACAAACGAAGATGTTTCTTGATAATTTCATTATTGACATTCTGTCGTCCACCTTCTGCAATTGGATGGATTAATATACTTTTTTCTTATTAATGCGTTTAATGTTTTTTTTTTTTTTTAATAAAACTAATATTTTTCGCATTAGTTCATGAAATGATTTGAAATGTAATTTTGAAATTGAATTTATTATTGTGTATGTTAAATTTTTTACTATATATAAAATCCTCTCATTGTAAATGAAATATTTTTTTTAAACTAAAATTTAAATAATTTTAAATTAATTAATTTTTAATTATAATTTTAACCTAATTTACAAATTATCCCCTTCTACTCTCACCTCCTCTATCATCATTCTCTAGCCTTCCCATCTTTATTTTAATTAATTATTCAAAATTAATTTTTATTATCCAAAATATATTATGTGTGTGTGAGATGAAACTTTTCGATCTTTATTCTAAGTGAATAGGTGATCTCGGATGTTCACGAAATATCCATGAGTTCTCACCAGATGTTTGGAGTACAGTAGTATAGTATTCGCAAGGTGCGAAATCCCAACGCATTCTCATTTACACTTTCGTACATGTGCACCGCGTATTTTGCGTATATATCACGCATTCGTCGGTGCAACATGCATCACACGTCACGGTGTAGTGACACTTGAGTGGAAGCGACCGGGGAAAAGAAAGGTAAAAGAAAGCAACCCACACGGTGATGAAGGAACGAGAGAGAGAGAGAGAGAGGGGAGGAGGGAGATTCAAAGTAGGGGCTCCCTTCATCATCGGGCGTTGCTTCCGACTGCGTCGTCCCTGTCGGCTTATAAATAACACCATCTCCCTGTTTCTTCGTGTGTTTCTCAGTTTTTCTTCTTCCTCCGCTTCTTCCTCCTCCGACTCGGCCTCCCCTGCCTGGGAGATACTTGGCTGCTCGGCAAGCCTAATTAATAACACGTGATGAGCGATCGTGGCAAAACCTCCCGAGCCGAAAGATCGCAAGCGGAGCAAGAGAACCGACGAAGAGAATATAAGAGAGAGTGAGTGACGGGAGTGACGTGGCCTGGACTAGACATCACGAAGAGCTTCATTCGCGATAGTTAGAGATACTGCAGACAACCGTACTGTTGTGGAAGATCTACATACTGAAAAGACAGTGAATACATTATTTATATCTCGATGAAATTAAAAATTTTCTTGCGTAACCGTTACAAGGAAAACATAGAGTCGTAATCAAAATAATTCGTCATGATCAATGAAATGTGATAAAATATAATATGCTTTGAATTTTATATTTTTTATATTTGGTTCGTGCTACGTCTTTTTTATTTTAATAAACGTTATTTCTTATAATTTCTGCAAAGTCTTATATCGGTGGACGAAGGATATTCGTGGTGTTGTTCTCACACGATATATAGAGTAACATATGCACGAGAGAGGGCTCGTGCTACGTCGTGGTAACTACGTCGTTATTGGTCGGGGGAGCAACAAAACCGTCGGATATAGAGAACACATTGTATATAACGTCGAAGGCGAGAAGGAGAGACGAGAAACACATCGTGGCGAATCGTTTCCTCGCACCATCTCGCGAAGGAGCACCCGGGTGTTCTGTGTTGTGTGTTCGTTACTGGACCGATACCATCTTCGCTTTTTCTTTCTCTCTCCCTCTCTTCATTGCGTTCTTGTTTCTTTTCTTTATCTACTCTCGCCCTTTCCTCTTTCTTCTTTGCTGTCCGTTCGTCGACGAGGAGGAGCCCTAAAGTGTCGAAGACCTGATACATATTCCTTTGACGCTGAGCTGACGGTCTGTCGTGTACAACGTCAACAATTCTTTATTTTATTAGCAAATTCATAATTTTTCGCTGTAATCTTATAATAATTTCAATATCAAGCGAATCAATTATAGGATTATTTGCAATACTTTCGTAAGTTTGCATGCAATATTCATAAGCTTTATTTTCACGCACGAATCTTTTTTTGTTTTTATAAGTCATATATTAGTAAGGAAACAGTAAATAATAATAAATTTTTAGTAAATATATAAGTCTCATAATCATATCCGTTTTATTACACGCGAAATGTTTTTTTTACCATTTATCCCATACAAGCTTCGAAATGCATTTTGGCGAGGTGATATCTCGTCCGCTCGCCATTCATGGTAGTTACAGACTCGGCGTTATACCTGCCTCGCTTAGAGCGTATCCTTCCATGGCGAAAGGATGATGAGGAGGCAAGAGGTAGTTGGTAGGCCTCGGATGAGTCCACTATCTCAGGAGCACTCATCGCGACCGCTTCGTTATCGGCCCTGTAGAATCATAATGGACCATAATTGCATAAATATAATGTTAATTAACAATTAAGATTGCCGCTTTGCCTAATTGAATCGCCGCTTCTGCTGTCTCCGAAAGAAAACGACGTTGCCGCAATGTACGGTCTCCTCTTCACATAGAGATTGCATAGGGGAATCTCGGGTGGCCTTAAACGTTTAATGGCGTATCGGAAAATTATACCGACGGTCCTTCCGAGGACACACTTTCGATACCGCGGATACATCTAAAAAAGAAAGGCAAAAAAAAAGGAAAGAAAACAATTATTACCTTTCGATGTCGCTTATCGAACTTTATATTCGGGTATTTTTCTTTTAAACGTTACGATAGACATATGCATTGGCACGTACCGTGCATTGGAAGTATCGCGATTTTTTTCGGCAAATAAGTTTTTTTTATTATTTTTCTTTTTTTTTTTTTCTCTTTTGAAAATTTGGAGAGATAGAAGAAATTACTGATCGGATTATGAGCATTGATTAATGAACATTCTGCCGTCTTCTTTCTATGATCATTTATCCGTGATATCGAAAACCATCGTATATGCTGCGCGAATTTCTGTACCAGGTTCAGATATGCAATTAGCGAAATGCAGATGCAATAATAATGAATTCCCGTTAATAACCGTCGCGCCACCGCAACTATCGCTGTCTCATCGCAACGGTGATATCACGACGGAAGAGATAAATGAAAACATGAGCGTGCAAATAAAAAATAAAGGTTGAATCCGCGCTGGAGAAACTGTGACCGTCGATCTGTTGCCGAGTTACCGTTGACGATGCAGCAGCGTATGGTTAAATCATGTCTGCTTCAAGTTCCTTCTACCCTCTATCGTCTTCCCCGATCCCTACAGCCTTTCCTTCGTCATTTCTTTTCCTCTTCGAACCAGCCTCTCTTACCATCCAATATCTTTTTTCTGCCTTTGCGTTCGGCGAATGTATTTTATTCAATTCTTTTTTTCTCATTTCAGATGGTTCAAGCGATTCAGGTCCTCCGGTTTCACCTCCTCGAGCTCGAAAAGGTGAGTATCCTTCACGTCTGCATTATAAGGCTCATAATGTTATCAATCCAACTGTGGGCGCGATTTGTTACTTGTAGTCAACTATTCCTTCATTATTTAACATCGTATCTATGTTTTTTTTTTTCAATTAACGGATAAATTTTTGTTTAAAATTGTTTTTCCTCTATAACTAATATATTTTATTTTAACATCTTAGAAAATGTTATTTATTCAAAATTATAGTTATTTTAATTTTTAATTGTATATATATGTGGGTATGTAATTTTACAATAGAAATATTATTAGTTTATATAGTCTTCTCTGTTATAATTTCTTCTGTTTAAAAACTTTGCGTGAAAATCATGCATGTGTTGCTGATGCAAAAAGCAGTTTTCTACTTAAAACTATATAATGTAATGGTCGATTGGAAATTCTCGCGATCGGTCTTATTGTGAGAGATTACCGCGCCCGCCTGCCAATAAGTTGCCTTTAACATCTGAAAAACGACTGTTATGACTACGGGGGCAATTTTCCGTAATTGCGGTGAAAGCTTCACATCTACGGCGTATTCGTCGAGACTACGACGCGAACCGACTCTACACGTAAGTGGAGTCATTTTGCTGTCCAATGGTTGGACGGCATCAGACGCTTTATCAACTTTGCAGTTGTTTGCTTTGGAACGGTAGTTGTCCATTTCTTATTTTTTTCATCCTTTTTTTTTTATTTGTCGCACACACTTTGTCTTCTTTCCGATTGACGAAACGAAATGACAATACGCGCCAATACTTTATTCAGTTGGTCAGTCAGGACAGAGTGGAATTACATAGCCATATAAACGGTGAAAGTGAGACATCTGTTGAGGAAAATTCCAAGACCATAGACCCTTTTCATCAGCGATGCGAACGTAAGAGCTCTTGACTCTGCAATGGTTACTGTGTTTTACGAGATTCTGCTCATTTCCTTTTTCTTTGCATTGCAACGTTGGCGAGAAAGGTAGGCTAATAGAGCTCTCCCGATGCAACGTGCATTGATTTTTCGATAGGCCCTCGCTCTCTTTTCAGACGAGTATGCCCGTAGGATACGAAAGCTGGTTTGGTTTATTTAGACGTTTTTGTGGCGATATTTTATCATACAAAATAGCGGACATCCATAGCATTTTCATCGAAATGGCAGCTGACGTGGCGGCAGCCATTGGCCGCCGTGCACTCTCGAGACCTCTTCGTGATGCTTCGCTGTCGATCGGCCCTCTCACTCGTCAGGTTCGATCGCGCGTAATTTTATAGCATTTTTTTTTTCGATTATAGCGATCACATTATTATAATGCCGCACTACCCGCGGCGGATTCAAGTATCTTCGATGCGCCAAAGTCAGCATAGTCCCATGAAGATTTATATTTATCCATGACGGAAAATTTTGGCTCAAGTTCCACTTTGGCGTCATGACGCAAATGGAATACGTATCAGTAAAATGGAATCAGATATAGTATGAATTTTTATAATAATTTTGTATAAATACGCGACACGGAACGTCTCTCAGATTGGAAAAAAGGCATTAAGTTGGAGGATAAATCATCGAATGCTGCTCTGCCTTCGTGTCGGCTTATCTGCATCAAGGCAAATGAATTTACTAATTGGAGCTTGCTCGAAATTACAGCGACGTTTCAGTTTATCGCGATAACACTTATTACTCGTTAGCTGTGCCTCTAAATTTGCCCTCGTTAATGGAAGCACACGATTAAAGAAATTAGCAGACGCGCGTTATGAGAGATAACATATGGGTGGCTGCGGGTGTATTCTTTAAATGCTGGAAACGATATTGACATATTGTCAATTCCGTGAAAGTACTCGATACTCGATATTCGGTTACCAGGGTGTATAAAATGGGCTTCCTCATGTGTGTCGAATCCCTACTCCCGAAGTCTGTAGATGAAACGCGGCTTGGCACGCCATCGATGGTAACGGAGATTGAAACGTTTCTGGTCCCCGGGGCCTCTTCTAGACAAGACGAGACGAGACGCGAACGAGTGGAGCGGAATGCAGCGGGCGCGATGAAGAAGATTCCATAAATATCTGTGCTCGAAGTGGAGGAGAGAAAGACGAACGGAGAATGAGATAAAGAGAAACAGAGAGAGAGAGAGAGAGAGAGAGAGAGAGAGAGAATGCGAGAGCGCAGCATAGAGAACGGGAGAGAGGGAACCAATGGAGGCAGGCTCATGGTAGCCCGCGGTGCTCTGCCTCGTGCATTTAACATTTTCGAACCAATCGCGTATTAGCATAATTACGTTTTGCCGGGCCCGGTGCGCGGAAGGAAGGTACGGTCAGGCCCTTTTTCCTTCTCTCTCTCTCCCTCTCTCTCTCTCTCCCTCATCTTCGCGGCATTTTCTGATGGCGCAGTCATCTCTTTTTCTCCCTTTCTATCATCCTACTCGCGTTCTTCTCTTCGTCCATCGTAGAGAACTCTGGACAACTGCTTCCCGTACACCGGTTAGAGAGCGGTAAATTTCTTATGGGATATTATGGCGTACACAGTGCATATCAACGGGATTCGTACGGGTACAACACGCGGGCGACCTCCTCCAGCTCATGGACGTGCCGCGTACGGAACTGGTTCTAAACCTATGCTAGCGCACGTCGCTCTCTCCTGCTGGAATATCCTTGTGCTTCAACACGTATACGTACGTGCCATAGGAACTTTTAGATATTTCTTACCACGGAATCTTGACCGAGACGCTATGGAAATTAAATTTTAACTGCCTCATAATGAGATTTTTATATGTAAACGTTTCTTATAAATTTATTCAAAAGATAACGTACACGTCACAAGTTTATATGTAGAATTCGCTGAAATTTTTATTAGGAGGGATACGTGGATTATCTGATGGTTGGAAAAAAATTTCTGAGTTTCTCATCGTCATTGATACCGCGGAAAGGTAAGTGGAGAGGAAAGGAAGCGATGACCCCGATCGTTCGACATGCACACCCGGTATATAGATATCCTGTGCGTGCCGTAAGGGTGGTCAGGTTGCGAATCAGGCCACGAGAGAGGAAGACCGAGACAGACACCCCGAAACCTTCATTACCTTCGGCTTCAAAGGAGCCCATTGTGCCGTAAATGGGGTTCCCCGTGTTCCTTCTTTTCTACTCTCTCGCTCGTATGTACCTTGGATCCGTTCCATTCTTCGGCGTTTGCCTTTCTGAGAGTCCGTGAAGAGGCAAGGTAGGAAGGAAGAGGCGGATGTAAGATAGGGAGACGTTTACCCGTTCTTTCCTTCGTTTACGTAAATTTTCGAGCAATTTCGAGGCCGAATGAAAGACGGTACCGAGGTCTTCGAGTTATAATGTCACAGCGCGCCAAGTACTCTCTTTCCTTCCATGACAACAGAGTGACTGAGAAAAAGGGAGAATCGTTTAAATGTTCTCTTTCAATGGAAAACTGGTTTCGGAATAATTAGTCTCTCTTCATCTTTGAAACGATGTGTAGACACATGGAATAACACGATGCAATAGATAATAAATTTTTAATTTCTATCTGGTACTTCCGTGTGTGTGTGTGTGTGTGTGTGTGTGTGTATATATATATATATATAGTTTATTATTTTAAAGTAATTACATATAATATTATTAGTTACATGTGCACGCTACATTCTTCATATTATTAAAATTTGAATAAAATCAAAATTAGGATTCTTGTAGTAATTTCGATGGAGATCTGGATTTGAATTCAAAATCTCGTGCGCGCTTGCCATGAGACTGAATATTGTCGAAAACAATCGACTAATATTCAATAAAGCAATTCGATTAAAGAGATGAATCTTTGCAAAAGCCATTATTGCCATGAAATTATTAGGAAATAGCTCCACGAAACGAAAATAATTTTGAATTAGTCATTTTCGAATTGAATCTTTTGTGATATTTTTACGTCTTATTATTTTGTTCTTTTATTTAAAAAATTTTTATTAAGATTCCATTACTTATTTAACTCTTTCCAAATAATCGCGTAGACGCGATGACGATGACTGTTTTATTCACACGATTAATAACTCAAGTAGCAACCGGAAGATGAAATCGCTCATCGATTTCGAGTGGTTATCGTTTCCGTTTTCGCTCGAGAACATCGATGGAAATAGTATTATCGCAGCTATTTAAATCTTTAATCGCAGCGTCCTTACTAAAAGTTTAATTCGATCGATACTAACCCTCGATTCGAAATTGAATCGTAATTTAACTTGTGCTAAAACTTTAAGTAGCATATTCAGATCCCGAAGACTATTTTCGTATGGCGTCCAATTACGGACGTAGAGCGGGTTCGCAGTCCGAAATTTGTTTCGATCGCCTTCGTTCGCCAGATAACGGGCCACTTTGTCGTATCGCGCACCACACGAGATATTCTCGGACAACATTCTCTCTCCGAAAAGATTGGACCTAACTACGTTGTCCTTTTGCTATTTCGATGACCGCCAAAAGCGATCTCAGAAAAGGGAGATGCAAGCGATCGAGCGTCTCATCATATCGCCGGGGACGACCTCCCTATATCGTGTATCAGTTCCCTCTGAGATCATCGTCCACGGTATATAGGATGACGCGATTCAATGGTAGGATAGATTGCAAAAATTCGCGTGTTCCAAGGCGATCGTATCATGTTTTATGTCATAGTTGAAATTTCCACCAGTTATTGAGTTCCTACCATATCCAGGATATTCCTCTTTCGAGATGTAATTAATATCAGTTTTTTATTTATTAGAATTAATCCGATAAATTAATATCTTTTCACAAATATTTCATTTCATCTTTCTTACAAATTATCAGTCTTGATTTTCTCAAGTTGATCATTTACGCAAATCGTGACAAAATTAGAAATGCATTTCTAAAATTCTAAAAGAATGTTGTCGAAATCAAAGCGCAAAGGATGGATTCGATGCCGTTAGACAGCAAAAAAAAAGGCAACACAAACTTTTTCTTTAATTTTTTTTTCTGAGCATTGTCGCTCGGTTCGACTCGACTCCCAGTGGATCAAATTCTAACCAGTTCAGCATTATAGTCGCTGTCCTTCGAAGTCCTTCGTCTCTTTCTATCCGCCCTTAGATTCCTGTATTAAAGAGAGAGAGTTTAGTCATCCCGAGGAAGGTATTGTGTTACTGCGTCGCGGTGATACGTCGAGGCAAATAGCGTAGGAAAAAAGTTGGTGCCGCAATGGAAGAAGCGCAGTCAATGGACCGGAGGTTGTCGCATTATCGGTCTGGATGAGAGGCCTCTTAGTTTTGAAGACAGGTAAACGAGCGTGACGAATGTTCGCCGATCGATGCGAAATACATCGTCGTTTTGTAGTGACTTCGCATAATGCACATAACGATCTCATTGATCGCTCCTAATAATATCGTCATTGAGTCACCTTTTGCAAGCTAAACGAAAACGATTTGATAATCTCGCAATCTTATCCGATATGCAAAATGTTTGATTAGACTGGTGGTTTCTTTGCAATATCGATTATCAAGAGCACCAAGTAAGTTTCCGTATATCTGCGTCTATCTCCGTATAGACGATGTACGTTGATTTACCTTTTTCGCTTCGAGCGATCAAGAATGAACGAATTTCTCATTGTTTAGTTTCTTGGTCGGTCAGCAGAGGAAAACCTAATTGTGAGTCTTTTCGCATGCGCTTAACGGATGATAAACATAGGCATTGTCCTACGTTCTTGATGCACGCTACCATTGGACGGTGCCGCCTACGGCAAAGATGGCCGTCTTCTCTATTATATATAAATGCTTAATAAGAGTATTATAAGTGAGCTCTAGGCCAATAGAGGTGGGCAAGGTAATGCGTGCAAGGTAGCCCCGGGAACGAAAAACGATGGTAGAGAGGGTGTACGTTTGCGAAAGCCGCAGCTTCGTAATATCTCTACTCGCCGACGATTTACATATAACAAGATAACGAATTTTATTTGCTTTTGCTTATATAATACGTTTATTCTAAACGAAATCAAGGAGGCGAATCAAGGCAAGAGGATAGAGTGAGAGACGAGAAAGGGGGAGGGGGAGGGGGAGGGCTGGAGGATAAGTCGAAAGGGGAACGGAGGAGGATCGGCTATCCTATAGGCCTGTCAGGCTTCATTTGCATACATAACATTCTGGTCGACTGGACACCGGTCAGATCTCCTCTCTGTCTCTCTTTCTCTTCCGCTCCTTCTATACATTCGTTGCATCGATTTCTCTTCAGCTATCAGAGGCCGCTTCCACGGCCTCGAGATGCGCGCACAATCCTTCTCCTCCATCTTCGTGTATCGATACGCCGCGCCGCGTCTCTCTCTTTTACTTTTTATTTTTATTCCTCTCTCTTTCTCTCCTTGCGTCTCACACCACAGTAAGACTCTGCATCGGTTGGATCCATTCGATGGAACCTATCTATTAATCATTTCCGGCGGTACGCGGTTAATCAGCCGCGTCCTGTTGGAAAGTATCTTTTGGAAAACGGTATCTTGGTTCGCCAGGGAATGGAGAATCGATCTAATTGGTTCTCGAGTCTTCTTCACGACTAACGAATGTTCTTTCTTTTTTTTTCACATTCCAGGTGCACGAGCTGTGCGACAACTTCTGCCACCGGTACATCAGCTGCCTGAAGGGCAAGATGCCGATCGACCTCGTGATCGACGACCGAGAGAGCTCGAAGCCACCCGAGCTAGGTAACGGTCTGGACGGCAGCGGACCCAGAAGCACCGCTGACAGCACCAGCCACACGGACGGGGCCAGCACGCCGGACGTCGTGAGTACCTCACCATCGTCAACGACTTATTATCCGCACGACGCGCTCACCCCCCACCATCACCATCACCATCACCACCATCACCATCACCAGAATAATAACAATAATAATAGTAATCACGCCGGAATCGGCAGTACCGCCACTACCACCCCCTTGCAACTGAGCAACCAAAACCAAAGCCAAAACCACCACCCTACGCCGCAGTCGAACACCACCACTACTACTGCTATTACCCCAAGTAGCGCCGCCACAACTCCCAACTCCCTAAAGCGTTCGCACCAACAGATGATGATGGCAGCCGCGATGGCCACCTCGCCGCACGCAGCCGCATCCGCGCCCCCAGCGCACGCGCACGCCGCCCTCGCCGCCTACCACAGCATTAGCTCGGCCGTTTATCCGTGCTCGTAATAGACTACGCGACTTTCGTGCCGATTTCGCGAGATCTCTTCTTCTTTTCCTCCTCCTCCTTCTTCTTCTTCTTCTTCATCTGCTACTTCTCTTTTATTCCTTCCGCGACATTATTCTTCTCCATAATTCTATCTCTTCTTTTTGCCATCGTGTTTTGCTACTTCATCTTTATCTGGTTCATCTAGCGTTCGAACGTTCGATCGGATAGATGTGTGACTAGGATGATTATAAGGATAGCACCGTTTCTTCAGAATCGGTCGTGCTCGCGATCGATTCCGTCCGTCCTTTAAGAAATGATTGATCTCTCTTTGATAAAATCAAAAGTGACCAGTATGTCACTGATAGTTGAATCACAACCAACAGTAAGCTAGGTCGGAGACATTCTCCGATTTGCCTTCGCGGCGAGATCATACACGCGTGGGAGTCGAAATACACGAGTCTATGCCAGGGCAAACGGGTCTGTATACTCTATAGGAAGACGGTACCTAGCACCTGATCGATGTTAAAACGCGTGGGTTCTAGCAGCTTCTAGAGTTCTATTAACGTCCTCGATCTTTCCAGAAGGAAGAGAGCGTTGAAGTAGGATATGCTAATTCGCAGGCCCTATGCGAGCTAGAAAGGATCTTGTATTGTTGGATCGGCGCTACTTGTTGGAAATCTTTTAGTATATTTCATTTCCATAGGTGTTTCGGATTACTCCGCGAACAGAGAATGAGTTTTTGTATGGTTTTTATATGGTATTCGGTTTGTTTTCAGTTCGTTAATGCTGTCTTCTTTTTATTATTTTGTTGTTTATACATTAATCGCTCGAAAATGTAGAATTTATTTATTTGTCATATTTTTTATGTTTAGTCTTATAAAATATTACTGGTATTATTAAGATTCTTTGATAAGATTTGTTAATATTACGCTTAAAATTGGAAAGAGAGGAGGGAGGAAATTGGATAGAGGACTTTGGTTTTAATAAAGTGTTGGAGATTCATTGTCTTTTTCGATTCGTCAGGTACACTCTGTTTTTTTTTTCCAACATTCTCATGTACTTCTCGCGACGATTAAGAATATTCTTCATTAATTTATTTTAGGTTTTTATACAACTGTTCCATAGATTCGACACGAATTCGATTACATAAGGTTCCGTTTCGTAGCGTGGTAGAAGAATGTTTCTAAATTTGTTTCGTGCCAGGGAGGTAGCGGTCGTCCGTTGACATCGGGTCTCACTCGAAGCGATTTGCTTTCAAAACATATTCAGAAATATTCTCGCCCGAAACCTCGTCTAGGAAACCAGTCGTAATAGGCTATTATCGGTGTGAGAGTGCCGAATGAGCTTGCGGCTGGTTCGCAGCCTTATGCAACCAAATTCTGTGTTTTGCTCTTCGTATGGCCGGGACATGGTCTGTTCTATTTATCTGCTATCCAGTAGTTATCAGAAATAACGAAATATGCGGGTTGCGCGCGTAAACTTCTTCGAGAGCGAAACGTTCGTTTCATCTCGCGCTTCTCTTTTTCTCTCACTCTCTCACACCCTTCTCTCCTGTCTCTCCTTGAAGGTCTCTCGCGACATGGCACGATGGACGGGACAGACATGCGAGATATTTGTATAAAAGAGCAAGCATTGGAGGAGGAAGAGGAGGAGGGCGCGTTCGCGGTCTCGTGCGAGAAACGTCGTCAACGAAGTAGGTCGCTGAGTAGCTAGAGATAGGGTGGCTAGAGAGGCGCGAGAAAATCGAGGTAGAGCGGTTTCACGGTTCGTAAGCGTTTTCAGTTCGAATAAGGCAATCGAGCACGAGAGAGAGAGAGAGAGAGAGAGAGAGAGAGAGAGAGAGAGAGAAAGAGAGAGGGGTGGGGGAGGGGAGGTGGTAAGAACAATATACGCGAGTATTACTTTGACGTCACGTGTCAATGAAACCGTATCAGATGTAACGGAGAAAAGAGACAGTTGATTATAACTGAATCGTAGTTATAGGAAGGGCGAACAAGGCACGGATAATTCGTATGTCGGTTTTTCTTCTTTCTTATTTTCTAATTTTTTTTTTAATTTTTTCTTTTTCAACACCGTTACTGACCGCGATTTATATGCGGGACTCTACGTAGGGACGAGAGCACACGCGCCTCAGTAGCTAACAGCTTCGATGCAACGCGCGTTGGTTGATGATCGATACTATCGCACGCAGTAGGCGTGTTTACGACAGACATTATATCGTCTACGCGGCGTCTACTTTCTTTAGGTAGCATCTCGTGGGCGTATACGCGCGTATCTTTCTTCGTTGCGTCGCGGCGTCCATCTTCCTCGATCGAAATCATAGTAACGAGGACGAGTTAGCTCGGAAAAACCGATATCGATTAGATTCGTTGATATTAATCGTGATTTGGATATACGTAATAGGATTAAGCCTCATAGAATGCGTCAGAAAGAATAAAATGAATTTTATGTCTATTTTTAAACTGAACGATCGAAATAACTTAGGGATCGTGTGTAAGGCGGAGAGCGAATGAGAACGCAAGGCAGCGAGTTATAGCGTGTGTGGGTCGTGTTTAGCGAAAACGTATAGAGTAGAACGGTTAATTTATTGCGAATTTTTAATTTGAGGTTACCGAGAATTGACAACGTAATGTGAGTTTAAGATAATGAGATCCCGTGAGGAGTTCGTCGAGCAACTGATGTAGTAGACGAATTGCAAAATTTTTTAAGTCAACTTGCGCCGCAGGTGTGCGATCGGGATCGAGTTGAGCGAAAGTAATATAAGAGAAGTTATAATGTGACATCGAGAAATGTGACGAATCCGAGAACAAAGAAGCAATTAAGATCGTGCGTAATCAAGTTAGTCGGTTATCACTAGGTCTCGGTACTCGTAACTAGGGAGTTGTGTGAGGTACAAGTCCTGATCGGCAGGGCGCGCGAGGTCCACCCCCATTCCCCGTATTTAACCCTTGTATCTTATATATATATATATGAAATGCAAGAAAGTTAAATAATATTTTGAACCCTCCATAAAGGGAGGATTGTATCCTTCTACTGGTGCTCCACTGTCAAAGGATATCCTAAGGAAAATTTCTTTTTTTAATATTGATGTTCGCTATTAAAAGCGTTATCAATATTGATGTTTATCAGTATATGTGTATAAATGGAAATGTGTATATGATTGACCTGTTATGCGTCTACGGAGGCAGAACCGGGTGCAACGTATACACCCCCCCCCCCCCCCCCACACACCCACACACACACCCACACACACACACACACACACACACACACACACACACAACACGTACACACACATATATATATATACATATCTATGCACATGCACGCGTACACGATGTGTTATTTTCGCCGAATGAAGACATCGCGTGTACTCATGTACATCGTTATAGCAAAACGTACACGGAACCACATACGTTCGCACATATGTTGTGAGAACATATGTACGAACGAATAAACGTCTTGAAATTTTACTTGGGAATAAATCCTAGATTATATTTTTAACTCTACACGACAGGTACGTAAAAATGAATATGCGGGGCACCAGATTGAAGGAATGATTTTTCAAATCTAAATGTGATAGTGATCTTCTCATTAAGATCACTACTGCAAGTAAATGCAAGGGTATACGGAAAATGGGCAAATGGGCTTCGGCACCGGTCGATTGGAACCCTAGTTACGAGTGCCGAGCTTAGGGCCGAGAGGATTATGAGCCTCTTGGCTTTCATTAGGCATTGTTTAAAAAAAAAATGAGACAAGAATGAAAACGATATAAGGAAAATGAAGAAAGGAATACGAAAAAAAAAATTATAAGAGTTACACGAGAGGAGTATATTGAAGGAGTATATTGATTTTTTTTTCTGTTTTTAGATCACGACAAAATATGGAAGTGATTTTACGGCAATCGATTATTTCTGCGCGGAAATTTTTATATTTGATAAAATTGAATAATATTGACTATATTTAAATCTATATAAGTCGATTATTATACGTTTTATTATATAAACTAAGCCGAAAATTTTACATTGTCATATAAATCAAGAATTTTTATTATTTATGATCAAAATTTCGGGAAAACTATTTTTATTGTTTCTTTTTAAGTGCCGCGCTTAAATGACTGATTCATGACGGATACTTTTATTACGCGTGTAGGATCTTCGAATAATGAAACAGAAAACTTGTTGTATGAGTTGCATATAAAGAAGATAAATTTCGTGCTGATATGAGAGTAAAATTAAAAATTGCAAAAAATAACGTGAATACTTTGTGCCATAGATTACAGTGCGTACGCGTTCGCACCAAGACTGTGTACTTAATTAAGTACTAATAAAAAAAAAAGATGAGTTTAGCATGTAACTCGGACATGGAATATTCGATATTTTTAGTGCTCAAGCGCATGGAAACTGTTACCATATAATCAAAATGAAAAATACGTTCTTTTTTTATTCTATCTACGCTTTTTATTTTTATTGGAAAATAGTATATCATGGAAATGATGTTTTATCGTGTTTAAAATTTTATAATATTTTTTTCATGCGTTTTGTTTCTACGTATATTTTTTGCGATTTTGTGAGAAATTTGTTCGATGAAAAATATTCGTGGGATGGTCGGT